TGTGTGTGTGTGTGTGTGTGTGTGTGTTGCAGGCTGCGTGCACGTCGGTTCTACACAGCTGAGTGAAGTCAACCCTTCCCAAAAAATGGAACCACAGAAAAAAAAGCAAATATGATGAGTAGTTAGTGCTTCGTTTGTGCGTTTGTGCACTTGAAATTGTCGTTTGTGCTGCTGTGGTTTTTTATATATGAAAGATTATTTGTAAGGGTCATTCAGGGGTCACCAGCCCACCCGCTCGCTCCAAAACAAACCAAACTAGTCAAATTTTGTCGTGCTTTGTTTGAGCAGGTTTGTGCCGTTGAAACGGCTGTTTGTGCTGCGATAGTTTATGAGATATTAGAAGTTATAGTTTGGGACGATCACGTGACTTGGCCCGTTGTCACAGACGTAAACAATTCAGGCCAAGTCATATGATTGTCCGAAATCATAACATTAATATACAGGGCTGCAGCAATATAGAAAATTCACGGTTCGGTTCGATACTTTAGTCTCACGGTTCGATATTTTTTCGATACAAAAAAAGAGACATTTCCTCCATGCCCCTTTTAACTTGTAATTCATTTAAATTAATTCTGAACATTTGTTGAACCTCAAAAGTACAATTTTTAAATTAAATGTTGCTGAAACAGCAAGTTTCTCAGTGGATCTGCGCTTAAAAATGCAGCCTAGGTGGAGTAGTCGAACACAGATCCACTGATCCTTCAACACAGAGCATCTTCAGAAGACAAGCTGATAAAATAAATTTTAAAAAATCTGTATTGTTCCATACATAATGTGTATTGAACTTAAAGTACTGTTCGATACGGTTCGAAACGGGTACATGTACCGTTGCGCCTTTACTAACCACTCATCATATTTGCCTTTTTTTTCTGTGCTTCATTTTTTGGGAGGGGTTAGGTTCACTCAGCTTTTCTGCACAACTAAAGCGACAACGGGAGAAAAAAACCAAAGCCACTGATRTGAGGTGGGATGGAATGAAGTCATGGACTTCTATGCTGCTGCTGAAACTCAACCCCAGTTAGCTTTAGTGGATTAACCCTTAWAGCATTGATATTAACAATCACACACAAAATAAGGGATGTTTTCAGCAGTTGAAGACGCTCCACTCCGGTTTTGTTTGATTTTTTTTTACGACTTTAAACTTTGCAGATGCGACGTTGCAGAATCCAGTTGGCGGTGGGACGGCCTGAGCAGGGTTTGGCTGATGCTGAGGGTGGGAGCAGGACCGTCCCACGGTCCACGTGAAGCAAGCCTAACGTGCTGYTGATGAGAGAGACGGGGCGGCGTGTGCATATTCATCAGCAAGTATTCTCATTTTCATCACTGCAGTGAGGAAAAAAAAAAGAAGAAGAAAAAGAAGAAAAAAAGAGAAGTCTCTCTCGCTCTTTTGTTTCTTGACCAATCAACAATCCCCATCTGTCGTCATGACAACTAGCACTTCACTTTTGCCCATCTCCTCCAGAGCTGTCGCCAGAGAGACCAGGTCTGCATCACCTTGGTGACACGCTTCCCACAAGTCCAGCAGAACACCTGTGGGGCTGGGCTTGGTGGCGAAGTAGTTCAAATACCTGCGTGCAACAAAGAAGCACTAGTTACAAAAAATAAAAAAATAAAAAAATAAAATACTAATAAAGCTCGAGTCAGTAGAGAGAAAATAAAACAAGGGCTCATTTGATCTTGTTTTACAGCTGGTTTTGTGGGATGCTGGTACTGGTACATACCACGGCTGCAACGATACAGAAAATTCACCATTTGGTTCGGTTCAATACTTTAGTCTCACGGTTCGATTTTTTTTTGATACAAAAAAAGAGAAACGCCCACRCCCTTTTTAACTCGTCCAGAGAATTAAATTATGGAATAATCTGGAAGATGGCGTTAAAAATGCCAGATATTTAAGAGAATGATGAAGGTTAATTTGTTGGAGAAATGTGTATGGGTATAATATATGAATTGTTGCTCAAGAAGGAATTAAACCTTTAATGTTTTTCTTTTATTTTTGTACGTTTTGGTAAATTGAAGATTATGTTTGATTGAATTTATTTATTTGAGTACGGA